TCTTGTGGCTATATCTGTCTTGAATTATACTCTTCAAACATTCCTGGTTTGGAGTATATGTAAAATACTCCACACCTAAATCACATGCAGTGAGAATCATTCTGTTTCTAAGAAGATTTTAGAAATAAGAACATGGACCTAGGATTACTGTGGTATGAGAGTTTTGTCAGTATCTTATCTGATAACAGTTAATCATATTCTTCAGTTATATCCTATGCAAAATGTGAGAAATATTCTCAGTATTCAGAGTTACATGAATATATTGTAAATAAGGCACTAAAATTCTGTGAAAAAATAATTTGTGGTATGAAAATGAGAGAAAAGGAAACCAGCATACATCAGCTATCTATTAGATGTCACATTTGAGGGCCATGAGATTCACAAGCATTTTCCCACATAATGACACAAGTAGCTTATAAAGCTTCGGAACCTCCTTTGAAAACCTCAGAAACTGAGATTCAGGAAATTTCAATAACCTATTCTTGGCCACCCACCTATTAAGTATCAGTGACTTTAAATATGCAAACACCCATGATGATTTATTATGCCATGCTCCCCTGTGTTCTATTTCTGAAAAGACTAAGAAAAAAAATACAGAATCCTTGTGATATGTAAAAGTGTTTGACACAACAGCTTGAAAGTCTGATTAGAGTATCAGATACTTATGGATCAAATACAAAGAAAATGTTTATTGTTGTTTTTAATATCTTATCACATCTATCAGTATGCTGAGACGTCACACAGAACCTCTAGCCAGGGAAAATAATTTTTCTGAGTAACTCAGATGACAATGGCATCTACCTGAATGTACAGGAGTACTCTATTTCTTGAATCATATTACTATTCCTTTTCTCAACTGAGCTACTCATTCAGAATCAATTGTCAAAGGAGGGATATCTTTCTGGATATATGGTCTGTATTATTTACAGAGGAATCAGAAAAATGGGAATAGTTTAATGCATATAATGAAATGTTCCATATTATTATTCATTTAAATGTACATAAACATAAGTAAATTCATATTCAACTGCACCTTGTACATTTATTGTTGCATGTTGGTATTCATGTTTCACAGTTTGTTAACAGGAAAATACACTTTCAGTGTATGTATCTGAGCCACTCAAATACATATTAAAATCACTTTATTCTTGGTTTCAGCTGAAACTTATTTGATATTTTACTATTTTTATTTACTTCTTCCCCTTCACTTCAAACTGTTTTGTATGGGATAAAAAAATTTCTCACTAAATAAATGAGAACACTCTTGCTATTTTTTTCTCATTTGGTTCACATGTAGTTGGAGGAAGTAAAAACATTTTTCTGTTGAATAGAATCAGTGCCACTTCTTCAATTAGGTCAGGGCTTCATGCCATTTAAAATTGACAGAAAAAGCAAAATGTACCAGACTGCAACACTGGAGATAGAGCTATTAGGCCTCCCCAGGATCCCTGGTCCTGGGTTTGACCTCAAATCCCTTCTGCCAAGAATTAGAAACTGTTAAGAGGGTCTTGGCCACTAGCCTCGGGAGACAAGATAAAATAGCATAAACTTCTGCAATACTAAAGGGAGCCTGACATTATGTTGAAGTTGGAAGCACTTGTTCATCAAAAGAAAGACTCCAGTAATGAGTAAATAATACAAATATTCACACAGGTTTTATATGACTGATAGAAAGATAGTCAAGCATGTATATAAAATGTATGAAAAACATTTTGAGTCATAACCTCATAGTAATATAGTAACATAGGCGTGTGTTCAAGAAAGCTTTGGGCCAGCGCCACGGCTCACTAGGCTAATTCTCCGCCTTGCGGCGCCAGCACACCGGGTTCTAGTCCCGGTCGGGACGCCGGATTCTGTCCCGGTTGCCCCTCTTCCAGGCCAGCCCAGGATAAGTACCTGGCTCCTGCCATCGGCTCAGCGTAGTGCGCCGGCCGCAGCGCGCCGGCCGCGGTGGCCATTGGAGGGTGAACCAATGGCAAAGGAAGACCTTTCTCTCTGTCTCTCTCTCTCTCTCTCACTGTCCACTCTGCCTGTCAAAAAAAAAAAAAAAAAAATGCTTTGAAGGCAGAGATCCGTGTTTGTATTTTAGCATAGATATTCACCAGCTGTATGACCTTGGGCAAGTCTTAATCCCTCTAAATCATAACTTATTGAATGATTTGAAAACAGATATGTTAAGAGAAATTAGCATATGGATTTGCTTTGAGAATTAAATTCAAAAACTTATATTAATTGGGAAGTTCATCATTTGGCATCAAGAGACACTTCAAGAATACTAAGGGGCTGGTGCTGTGGCATAGTGGGTAAAGCCGCTGCCTGCAGTGTCAGCATCCCATAAGGACGGGGGTTCGAGTCCCAGCTGCTCCACTTCCAATTCAGCTCTCTGCTATGGCCTGGGAAAGCAATGGAGGATGGCCCAGGTGCTTGGGCCCTGCACCCACATGGGAGACCTGGAAGAAGCTCCTGGCTTCTGGCTTCGGATTGGCACAGCTCCAACCATTGCAGCCAATTGGGGAGTGAACCAGTGGATGGAAGACTTCTCTTTCTCTCCCTCTCTCTCTCTCTCTCTCTGCCTCTCCTTCTCTGTCTATGTAACTCTGACTTTCAAGTAAATAAATAAATATTTTAAAAAAGAATACTAAGACTCATGGGTATTAGTACTTAAAGAACTTAATTAAACAGATATGCCTATATTTTAAAGTGGTTTATTGTGGGAAAAGAAAAAAGAATGTCAAAAATTATCTCAAAGAATCAACATAACAAGACTATATAAAGTAGATTACATCTTTGTCAATAATTTCTTGAATGTAATCTCTGGTAATATGTGCATATGTTAATGACATCTCAGATGGAAAATTATACACATTCGTAATTTAGAATACTATTACTATTTTTATGTAGTCAAATTGTCAATATTTTAGTACTCAGTTTATTAAAAGCAGATGCACTAGAACAAATTCATATATGTATATATGAATACATATGGATATTTCAAAAAGTTCATGGGAAATTGAATTAAAAGATTAGCTCATTTATTCCATAAAATAAATTGTAAAATGCATGCTTTTTCATAATACATATTGACATGAACTTTAGGAAAAATCTCATATACACTACAATATGATCTACACAGGAAATAATCTAGCAAAATCTCCTTTGTAAGTATTGTATTTTAAATAGAACCACAGCATGCATTTCTACTCCCATATAAATATTATGAGCCCCCATTTACTTTTTTAGAGATCTCTGGAAATGCTGTACCATCATATCTTTTTGCATTGCAGCATAACATTTTTAGTATGAAGCAAGATGTGATGGACATTGTTTTCAGACCATGGTTTCAATAATAAAGTTTCTGTCATTATTGGCAAAACCATAATTGGCAGAGTTTGCATGACACTACTTATGAGATCAGTGTGTAGAGGAGGCTGAAAGGAACTGCAAAGAATAAAATATTACATCTTTATAACTATTGATTTTTGTTAAAAGAAAATTATAGAGTTGCAGTGTATAGAGAAAGGCAAGAAAATAATTGTTAAATCGACTTCAAAGTTTTTCTTAAAACTGCTCAATAAATATGAAAATGAATTGATAAGTAAATAAAAATTGAGCAATGTTACATAGAGAAGTAATGGCAGATATCTTTACAAACATACTTGTAATTCTTGTGTTTGAAAAGAACAGTTAAATAAATACTGTCCAGAAACAGTTTTCTAAGATGATAGTCAAATCTCCATTGAAGAAATGCATCTCTCAAATCATTTCCCAGGAATATTTCACATCCAAAGTGAGAAGGTAACGAACCCCTTCCATCAAAGTGGTCTTCAATTTTAAAATCCTTATCATTTCAGTCACCTGAGTTGTTTTAGTCATGTAAACTGATTACCCTGCAGCAAAAGGAAGGGAACACTTGCACAAACACTCAAAAGTAGTTGTGGACTAATCTAGGTTTTCACTTGGTTTCACCAAGTTCCTTCCCTATCCAAAAACTCTCCTCTGCTAGAAGTTCACTTGAGGGAAATAGTCAGTGAGGTTGCCACAGCTCGGATCTTACCCACCAGAAGAATGGACAGGGCCACCCCATTTATTCAGCACCTCCTGCCTAGTCTGGGGGATCGTGCTGAAGGGACAGCTCCCCGTAGATTAGCTGTTTTCAAGTATGCGCTCCCAGGAAGCAGCACCCACTCTCTCTGTGCTACAAGGAGCCATTCACAAAATCCAAAAGGGAATCACGTTCCTCGCTGGCTCCTCGCAAATTTAGTTAGACTGATGTTGAAACACACGCCCCTTCCCTAAGTGTATAATTATTCGTGGGTGGAGAGCTTCCAGGGAGGGTAGTAGAAGAGGGCAGAGGCGAAGGAAAAAAAAAAAAAATAGCAGCAGAAGCGGGTCTTGGTTTGGCTTCTAAAAATCCCTCCTTTCTCCCTCTCCCATTTTTCTAAATCCGAGAATGATGGATTTGAGGCAAAGGGAAGACTCCGGCAAGGAGATATGACTCTCCAACCTAGAAATGATCAAGGCGATTTGTTAAAACTCAAGTATCCTTCGACCAGGAACCCAGGATAATTCAGAGTCGCAGGCGCCTGTTTTCCCCACGGAGGCATACACAGACAGACATGTGCCTCCCGAGACAAAATCCCCGGTTCCGGAGCGAGTTCCTGCTGTCCTCCAAGCTGGAGACGAAGGTGGGGTGGAGAGCACTCACTACCTGAGGGAGTGCGAGGGACGCTTGGCATCCAGGGGCCAATTCCCAGCCGGCCAGAACTCTTCCCTGCCGTCCTCACCACACGCAACTCAGCCAGATACTGACTCTGACATACATGTGCCAGTGTGTGTGAGCGAGGGGGGAGAGCAGCGTGCGCGCTCCACTTGTGCACCCTGCGCCTCCCTGTTCCATAGCTTGCGTTCATTCATATGCATGCATTGGTTAAATATTTGATCAAAGCAAGGACAGCTATATTGATCAGTTGTATTTTTAATGGGCACACCTGAAAACAGGGTGTTTGTAAATGGCAAGTGTGAAAAATTACTCAATACAGTCTCCATGTCTCTAACCCTTTCTCCACTTCCTTCCCCCATTCTCACTCCTCTCCAAAAGGGAAGCTAGCAGCAGATTGTGGAAGGATTTGAGTCTGCAGCTAGAGAGAAGGGGATTAGGGCCAGAGCGGTGCAAGTTAAATTGTGCTGCATATAAAAAATGGGCGGATTGGTCTCCAGATCCAGAGGCTGGTACCACCTTCCTTTCTAAAATAAAATCTCTCTGGCATGAAGTCACCGCCTATTTCACATCCGGTTTGCCCTGGGACGTATTACTACTGTCTTGGTAAAGAGAAATCTTTTGTTGTATAGCTGCAGATTGGACATTGGGAAGCGAATTTGGGTGTGAAATCTTCAGCAAAGGAGCACGCAGGGTCCATGATGGCTCAGACCGAGTGAGTGAGAGGCAGCGCGAGGACGCCGCTGCGCTCCGCTCGCCGCGCGCCCGGACTCGCGGACTCGCGCCGGCTTCAGCCTCTCCACGATTTCCTCTCGCAGACTTTTCCCAGGTCTTGTGCGATCCTGTGCCCAGAGGGGGCCGAGGTAAGTGCGGCTTCGGACCGCTATACCCGGGGCTTTGAACATGGCTTTGCCTAGCTGGAGAGAGAGGAATTCTATAGTGGGGGGGTGGGAGGTGGACAGAGAAAAGGAGAGCAGGACAAGAGCATAATCCCACAGCAGGTAGGAACAACGAATGTTTTTCTTTCAGGGTGAAAACTGCAGCGATGTAAGAGCATTATTTGTTTCTCTCTTTTATTTCTTTCCTTCTTTCTTAGGCAGGTTTGAATGTATTCCGCGGGGTGGGTGGTGACATGTTGTTTTGGTCTTTTTCTTTCTTCTTTTTTCTATTTTTCTTTTTGCTAGGGGGAGCTGGGGCGAGTTGCGGAGGGGCGTTGGGGGCCATCGTCTAAAGTTAAGACAGCAAGACAGAAAACCTGTCTCCCTTTTCCATCCTAGGTTAGGCACTCTTATCCTGGCTGAAAAATTGCCTTTCCTCTTTCTCAGTGGACGCTGCTGAAATGCCCTCTGGTGTAGGGGTCTCTGCCACTCTGAACATGAAGAACTCAACTTATTATTCAATACGGGTGGCATGGGACATGGGGGTTCGGGGTGTGTGTGTCTGGAGGGAGGAGGCTGACAGTGGGAAGAAGGCAAGAGGCAGCTGCGTTCCTTTTAAACTATTATGTTTGTATTTGCAAGAAACTTTCTCACTCAACAACTGAAGTGCCATGATGGGTTTGTTTTTCTCTCTTTAAAATGTCAGAGGAATGTGAAAAGGAATCTTGCCTTTCCTTGGGGTTTTGTTTTGTTTGTCCCTTCAGGAATTCCTCCTTTTTGTACAGATCAATGAAAATTAATAAGGCTGAGAAGTGTTCTTTTTCTTCAGAACAGATGTTAAAGATTAACACAAGGGTGAATGATAACTGTACAATTTGGATGCAATCTTTTAAGATAATGATATTTACCCAAGATTTCTTGTCATATTCAACTGTGTGTGTCAAAACCAGTTACTACATTAAGTAAAAGCAATGAGACGCTCACATTTCTTATCTCTAGACCATTCCATTCTAAACAAATTAATTATGTTTCATTGCTTACATGCCTGTTTGTGATGGTTTTTTACTGATTCAAATGATCTCCAGGAGTGTAGAAAGCATTTGCAGATATATTTAAAGATATACCACACCAAACTAGAGAGTGCTTAATAAAAATATGCTTCAAAAGATTTTGCAGTCCATTAATCACTGACCCTACTAAGGAGTATAGATTTTGGGAAGTGCTATCAAACACCTTTAACATTTCTCATATGATGACTAAAATTAATTATGGTATATGAAAGTAAAATGTTACCCTACCTGCTCTTTAACCAAGTAGCACACTGAATTTCAAAAATTGACTTCACAATTAGATTCATATGTTTAATTCCAAGAGCTTTCCTGACTCCTCCATTTCTCCATCATCCACTACCAAGTCTAAATTCAACAATCAGATGGTGATTGATTGCACTTTACCTAAGAGGGAAAAAAGATCCCCTTATTCATGCAAAGCAAAGCCCTCCAGCTTCCATCTGTTTGAGATGAAACATTTTCTAGCAGCAACCTGGCAGAAATCGAGAGGGCTAGAAAGATGTGTGTGGGCATGTTTGTGTGCATTTATGTGTGTGTGGTTTATATGTGAAAAAGAGATCAGCACATGGTTTGACTACAAAGTGTGTCCTTTAGCCTCACAGAAGCATTAGTGAGCACATTTAACAAGGCAATCACAGACCTAGAATTTAAGCATGACTTCAGCATTCAACAGTGTGTTTTCTATGGCTTTTAAAACACAGAAAAAAATACAGTTGCTTCTGACATCAAGATACAGTCAGAATGCAAAGATGAATTCAGTTGACAGAGTGTTAACCAATACCATCACCTCCCCAAATAACTTGTCCCTGTTATAGATACCAGCCTAAAAATTTCAGTGCAGAGTTCAGTCATGGGAACTCAAATCAGAAAGGTCAAAATTTCCAGATGGTAAACAACGGGAAGTGAGACTACATCAAACTATATTGGAAAAATAAAACCTAGAGATAAACAACTCACAGTTTTTATGTGAACAGTATGGACACCAGAAAGTATTTCAATTTGTCTTCTTTTTTCAGGAGAAAGTAAAATATTGATATATTTCTGAATGGAGGAATGGAAGGGAAAGTGGAGTCCAGGCTTCCATTGCTTCCAATGAGGTGTCATATTCCAGTGAGGTCATTTCCTGACTTCAAAGCATTCATCTGAACTGCCTCAGTCAGCCCTAGTGGTTATAACCTGATGTTTCTTGCAAGACACATTGATCTGTACTTATTCTACTTTCCAGCTGCTCATGTCCGCGATGAAGAGAAGTCTGGGTCTCTCTGAGTATCTTTGGGCCTGGACCCTCCTTCTGGGCACATTGACTGGAAGAAGGTGGGGACACTTTATTTTAAATCTGCATGAGAATTTCTGTAACTTTTCATTTATTCCATCAGGAGGAAGAAACTTGTCCTTGGATGAATTCATGACTAAGGGAATTAAAAAAATAACTGCAATACAATCCCAGCTGAGAATAAAGAAGAGTAGTATGAAAAATTAATCATCTAATTTGCATGTTAGTTGGAATACACTTAACAAGGCTTAGTTAAGAAACGTCTTAAGTCAACTTTTATGTGTTTAACTGAACTTTTCAATATTCACTTGTGTTGAAGAAAATGTGTGATTTTCTAATTCATAGAAAAAGCTACTCCAATCAATGCCTGTATACCATTTCAGTTAATTTTCCAACAATAAAATTTCCAGTAAATTGTAAAGATCATGGTATAAGTTGCAAATGTGTAGAGAAATAGAAAGTTTAACATTATATTTGTGATTTGAAAGTCATAAGTCTCTCTAAATGTATGGGCACACTGTGTTTTGAAACTATTATTTATATAATTGAGGTAGAATATATTATACAAATATTTAAGATCATTGAGTAAAATTAAACTCCAATTAAACATAACTACGGCATAGATATAAGAATTTCTTAACTAACTACATTCAAAACATTTTCAAATGATCCAATAAAGTACATAAAGTATTACATTCACAACTATATAAATGATCAAAATATTTTTTAAGATTATTTTTGATGTGCCTAAGTATTTTCCATATGGCCTTTTTCTGTGGCCCATAAAAAAGTGTTAGTAACAAAAGCCTGAGATTCTTCAAATACAATAGAAAATGAAGCCTTATGAGGTAAGGTGGACAGATGGACTGTTCTGGAAAGACATAGGAAATTAGGAGAATTATTTTGTTGAAAAGTTGTCACTATTTTTTTTACTATTGCATAGAGTAAATACTGACCTCCAGATGAATAGAACATACATTATTGTCAGATACTCTCAATCTGAGGAGTGAAATGGGCTTCACTGCTTTTGAAAAATTATGTGAAGTGTTACTATTGTAATGACCTGTAGATGGAGGTAGTGCACAGTGTTTTATTATATGGTGGTTCATATGGAATCAAAATCAGGTACTGTAACTGACATTTCTCTTCAAAATATGCATTCCATTTAGGAAACACTACACTGGCATGAGTATTTAATACTAAAACCATAATCTTGATATTTTTTCCTAGAGTTCTTCTCCGGTAATTACAATTTGACTTAATACTTGTAAACTAGAAGTATAAAGATGGGGAAGAACCTGTTTAAAAAAATCTCACAAAATAAAGATTTCTGCTTCAACTGGAATAGCAGAACTAGTCCTCTTGGGGAAAATGGACAAGTCTCTGAAAATTTGTGTTCCAATGCAAACAGTTAGAGAAACCAACATTTTAACAGATAAAACCAGAGAGAACAGCATTTCCGCAATTTGCATAAGCTGTGAAAGCAAAAAGAATGCAGGTAGAGTTAACATATTATAAGGATTGATTTAACAAACTAATTGGCACTTGGTAATGTCACTACATTTCACATTTCATCTTTTCTCCCCTACTTATTTCATTGTTTTCTCCCTTCTTTATCAGGCCTTCCTCACAACTTAAGGTGTGTTAACATTTTTTTTCCATCTATATCAAGATGACCTTGCAATCTCCTTGAAAGATGCATGCATGGCAGTTGTTTCTGTCACAGTGAGATTTTAAAAATAATTGCATTCAGAAAACTATTTTTGCCTTATTCCAGTCATATGCCAATGAGATATAATGGAAGATGCAGAGCTCATTGAAAATTTGATTTATAAAAACAGCAAAATATTTAATGTTATAAAACAGAGTATGCCCTCAATCTGCATGTCATTAATGTTGAATTTAGGAAAATGAAAAATAATTTCATAAAGATATATTTCATATATTTAATATCATATATACATTTATAAGAAATTTATTAAATTAAAACTTTACCAGAAGAATAACCACTACACTTTGCCATTACATATTTAATTTTCTGCAAATCAGTATTTGTTTTTAAATGCCATTTTATTTATTTCTTCTGTTAAATAAATAAACTCTGGTTTAACATGTTGCCTTTTAAAAAAGGAAATATAATATAAACAAAAAACATATTAAATAGAAAGTATGAAAGTGATAGATTTGCAGCATTTTCTTAGTGTATATCTTTATTTGTTTATTCTGCTACTCAAGGTCAGAGATACTGTTAAAATATATCAGGAGTGTGATCCATAGGGAGATAGAAAATGCCCTCTTGAATTATTTCATAGGATTATGCTAATCATTGCATAAAATATGATTCAAGGAGTATAGCGAAAAATGCGGTTGATGCAAGAAATACACAATTTTTGAACTGCAGTCACAACATGCTTGAAACTCAAAAACTAGTAATGATAATGCATACAAGCTCTGTTCTCAACTAGAAAGATTTAAATAGAAATAAGTTATTACAGTGGAGAAAAATGGAAATAAATATTTAGACTAAAACGGAGAATGATAGGTTCTAGGTTGAGCTTTGCTCACAAATAGTTGTGCCTTTCCAAACAAAACACTAAAACTTTGCTACAGCTTAGTAAATCATAAAGCCAGAGTATTGAACTTCATCTTTTGCAGAGTCTTTTACATTTATGACCAGAAATGACAGAAATTCAAATAATTAACTGTTTAAATAGGCAAACTTCAAAAATTGGATTATAAATCCTAAGGGATTTATACTAATATATACTAATATATACTAATGTAAAGGTACAATTATCCCTAAGAAATAGGTTTTATATATATTTATTATTTAAATATAACAACATAATATTAGCAAAATATAGATTTATTTGAAGTAGATGAAGGAAAGAATGTTGGAAAGTGAAAATATAGCCTTGTAATATGCTAACATGAGTGCATACAAAAATATACATATATATGTATTTTATTTTGGAAGAGGTTTCACATTTTAACATTTTTGTGTTATAATATACATGTTGAAAACAAAATAAGTAAGGAAATGGAACACATTTCCTGTAATTATTCTTCCATGGTTGGAAATATTAGAATGAAGAACTTGTCATCAAGGTGAGCAATTATGAGAAAACGTGAAGTGTTACAATATGACTTTTATTTTTATATTCTACCTGAGAAATTTGCAAATTAAGATTCAACAGGAAAAAAATGGCAGGAAAATTTTGGAGAGGTCTTATTTGGAAACAGGTTTTAGTAGAAATGTATGATTTGGCCATCTGTCTCCTTTTGTCTTTTTCAGCTATGGACAGCCCTCATTGCAAGATGAACTTAAAGATAATACAACTGTCTTCACCAGGATTTTAGACAGACTCCTGGATGGTTACGACAATCGCCTAAGACCCGGACTGGGAGGTGGGTTGCACTACTGTATTTTATTTTAAAGAACTGTATTTAAACATTTACTATTACAGTCTAACTTTCCCATTAAATGGCAAAGTAATAAGAAAGGAAGCTTGTGAGTTAATGATTAATGCTTGTTTTAATAGATCACTCACTGTTAATTTCATTTGCTATGGTAGTTTTGTGAACATACCCATACATAGTAAAAGATAGACACAAACTTCTCATAATTATGTGAAAAAGATTTTACGTGCACCTGACAAGAACAATGTGTTTTGTGTAATGATTTGATTATATAGGGGAAAATGGGGATAATATTATCGCTTCGTGTTCAAAGACTGCATTGACTTCATACTGGCACTTCTATGTCTGCACTGCATTCAAACAGGATATCTCTGATTCTATTACGTTAAACATTTATTTTGAAATATTGCGTATTGATCCACTATGTAGTGCTAAATTACCATCACCTCTAGGATAAAAGGTGAATGTGATAGATGGTGGTGTTTTTGTAAGCGTGCATTTGAACGTGTACCTTAATTTTCTCTAGTAAAGTTTTATTTTTATTGGTATAGCAATTAACCATCTATACTAATGAATATCTGCAGAGGACGAAGACAGCACTTAATAACATAACATATATAATAATAAGAGTAAAAAGTTCTAGAAATGGCATACTTATTTAAATAATTCTTGAATGACGTAACCAAACTATCTTATTTGGTTAAACAAAGACTGATGAAGCCAAAGCAAAATATTGATTTTAGAGTAAAACAAGTGAAGCAAGGAAATAAATTATTGTTCAATGTCATACAAGCCAAAAGTAGACTCTGATTCTCAGCTGTAGCTGATGCTGCACCCTTTTCAAAGAATTTGCAGTAACTATTCAACTGCAATATTTAAATAACAGTTAGATGACAATATTAAGAAAGTCAACTCTTTTTCATTTAGACAGCAAGGACAAGCAAAGAATAAGAACTCCAGGAAACTAAACACTGATTTTACAGTTTAATGGAAGCATGGATTTAGTCACTTTTTAACAAATACATTGCAGACTGTAACCTCCTGGATGTACATCATGGATCTGTTTTGGGACTGCCAAATGCTGTTCAAGGGATCTGCCTTGTCAAAGACACAACTCAAATATATGCAAAAATTCTCACCAAGTGTTCTTTCCTGTGAATTTCAAACATTTGTTTTGGGCCTCAATACACAGATTTATTCAGGTTTAGCTTCCATCTTAGTTTTCATTGAAGTTGTTAGGAGAAAAGTATAAAGTTAAGATACGTGATCACCAAATGGAGGTCACAATTGTGTTCAGACGTGTTCATATATCTGTGTACATCGATACATTTGAATTTGCTTCTGAAAAATGTTCTGGATTTATGAAATTTTAAATAAATTACAAAGACTGCATATAGAGGGGTAGTCTCCAAAGATGAGAGTCAGGATAGAAATACAACTTTTAAGGAGACTTTTGAAAGGACTTCTCAGACATATTTGATTCTTATAATGAATCTGCTTCCTGTTCCATGATATAATTCTCTAAAATATCAACAAAATTTTGTAGCCTACCCCAAAATTCTTCTCTTTACCCTAGTTCAGGATATCTATTTGTTATTTTAGCATGCGAATATGAGTATCTCTGAAAGATCTGTGCATAGTTTTCAGTTTGTTAAAGAATATTACTTATATACACTTTCTTCAACAATCAGTTATATGGTTATATTGTTGTTCAGAGTACAAGTAACAAGCCATGACAGCTAATTTCCACCTAACTACATGTAATAACACTTTAATAAATATATATATAAATGCTTTAATCAAATATAGTCTAATCAGGAAGCATTTTAACTAACCCTCAAATGCATACTTAAATCATGGAGAGCTGTAGACCTTGAAGATGTATAAACTAGACTAATAGGTTGAAAAGCAAATGTGCAGTAGTCAAGATACTGAAAGATTTGCTTATAAAATAACCACATTAATCAATACTGAAACATTATTATTTTTGTAGAATCTGCTTTTATTAATTATTTAATCCTAGGAAATAAAAAAGTCATGAATTCAAAGAGCAAAGGCAGTAACTGACCAAATGTAGGCAAAATATCTTCTTTTGAATTAAAATGAGTATAATATGAGTATTTGAAAGTTCATGGAAATTGTGTGATATAAAAAACTATACATGCATTATTAAATTTTTTCACCAAGATAAATTTATCTTTTAATATTATTTCCCATGAACTTTTAAAAATCCCTTGCATGCTATAATAATAGCAAATTATAGGACTTGGGAAAACTAAAAGAATGCATATGCCTTCATCTTTACTTATGTTGAGTTTTCTGCTATTTCTGATCCTTGGAAGCACTCATTTTTAAGAGTATGCCAGAAATTAAAACAAAAATAAAAGTAACTCAAATATTTCTCTATATCTAATTTAAATAGCCTCCTAGAAATATAGTACAACTAAATTTGATAGACTTGAGATGTATGCAAAAAGCTTTAATGCGGACTCAACTTAATCATTTATATGCTATTTTTAGTGCATTTCCTTATCCAAAAGGGATAAAATGATTTTTTGTTTATATCTGCAGAGCCATCAGATTTTTACTACATTTTACAAATGTTTGTCATTATGGAATTACAGTTTAAAATACCAAATACATTTTTAAAAACATATTAACCATAGAATTAGAGGAAAATGTTAACACCATGATTGCTGCCTCATATAACTTGAAAATTTTTTTTACTATAGAATTAGAGTACTTTCAATCTGTTACTGTACAATTTTTGATAAATTAATTATGGCATGCATTCCAGCAGATCCTTATTACAAAACAGACAGCCATCCCCTTATTTCTTTACATGAGCTGTGTGCTTTTCAATGTAAAGACGCACGAGAGGAAATACTTGAAAGAGTATTATTAGTTTATAAGGAAGCAAGATTTTCTTCATAGTAAGTTTACAACTAGGATAATTTCCTCTTGCTGTCTTCTCCATTGTGACATTTGTTTTTTTATGACAGTAACATTAGTGTTCAAAAGGCAAGAATGTTTGGTTCTGAATTTCTTCAGAAAATAGGGAGATGTATTAAGAGTTCAGACCAAAACAAGATTCTAGTATGTGCAAATTCATCATATGCATTGTCTCTTAAAAACATACATTACATCAGAAAGTATAGCAGTGCTCTATGAAGAGGTACACTACAATGCATAAATTGGTTGATCCAAATGATATAAATCAGTTTACAGATATTGTAACTCCATTTAAGAAGGCTAACATTTTACAGTTGAGTGTAATCCCAAGAAGGTGAAAATAAAACAGATAACAAAAGGAAATACATCCCAGAATTTTTCTCAACGTAGGAGAGATAAAAAGTATTAGAATGTGCAGTTTTAAGAATGAAATGTACTGTATTAAATAATGTAAAAATAAAAATAAGTTGGCCATGTTTATATTTTAAGTTCAAAGTAAATGAAGAAAACTTGAAATAAGCCTGAATTAAAATAAATAGTATCCAGAAAACACAAATCAAAATTGTCAATAATTATTGAATTCATTCTCATTTGTATTCCTTGCCAGTATATTCCTGGCAAGTATATTCTTTGCAGTTCAGAGCTGAAAAAAGTTTTTGAAAGACTCTTGCTTCAAGCATAGTCAGTAAAAAAAATAAGAGAGGTAAATGTTAAAGTCAGTCGAATGGGAAGATAAGAGAGAAAAGGTTAAAGAAAAAAGTAAAGCAAGACAGTGGGATAGAAAATAAGGAAAGAAAATAGAGTACCCAGAAGGACTGAGATGATGGAGAGGAACGGGGAGAGGAGTAACGTTAGAAGAGAGGAACAGATATTCTGGGTGTCAGGTGAACTCAGGTGTCCTCTGACTAATCAACACCCCTTGCATTTTCAATCAGGACCACATCCACAATTTTCTGAAATTAAAAAAAAAGTTTTCCCAAGTTTTTTCCTTATTACCTGTGATTACATTAAACTTAGGAAAGTTTGGGTGATGTTTACCTCCCTAAAATATTAAACAATGTTCCTGATGAACTGTACCCATTTGGTGAAATTTTAGTCACGTTCATATCGGCTACCCCTGAACCCTAGCAATAAGAGAATATAATCTGTAAACAGATTCCAAGCTTAATCCTGAAGGGTTTCTGGCTTTTAAGGACAAATAATACCCCTCCAGTGATATTTTTTCCTTTCTGTTTGCCCCACTGTACAAAAGAGTACAGAATTACACTTTATTTACCATAAACCAACATCCCAGGGCAAGCCAGCTTCATGTCCAATGATTTGTTCAGGCCATGCCACCAAGCTAAGCATAACCCTTTCCTCTTGTCCATAGGCTCTGCTCATCCTCTAGCTCTTATTCAAAAATAAATTTATTTCACTCCTTGGAAACAAATTAGGGTAAATCATCTTTAACTGGAATACAAACAGGATGGAGCTGGAAGAATGAGATTGTTGTTGAGCCATATTTTGAAGGGATTGCAGGAGAAATTTCCATTCAATTCCCTCCCTGCTCACAATAATTTCTGAAAATATTGTTATAATTTCTAAATTCAGTCTTATATTTAATTTCAATAAATAATGTATGGGATGATAGATACCTCGCAAAGATTGTATCATCTAACCACAAAGATAAATATAGCAAGGGAAAAGAGAGATCTATGTGTACTTCTAATGTGACAAACCCAGGTAGATGGATGAAGAAGCAGATAAACTAGGTAGGTAGGTAGAGAATGAATTTTATCTTTATCCTTACTACATATTAAACAGAGTATTATTTCTTCTTTCTTCTTCTTCCTTGTAAGTATTGTAGATTTTCCTTTGATGATTTGTATGTGTGTACTAGATTTCACCTAATAAAAATTATCAGAGGAGTGTTTATAGCTGGAATTAGTAGAAATACATTAGTACTAATACCTTATTTTTTCTTTTTTTACTGCTTTGAAAATATTTATTTTATTATCTATTTGAAAGGCAGAGTTAAAGAGAGAGGTCTCTCT